AATTCATGGAAGCCATCTTGACTACTCTATTAAATGAGAAAAATGTAAATAGTATTATCTAATATGTTGGTTATTATTCAAAATTCAAATGATTTCAACTAAAAACATTTGCCAAATACATAGGTAAGAATACAATGCTATTCAGTTCTAACTTGTGTAGATACAGGAAATGTTATTGCCAACCATTTCATCTTTTGAAATGAGAAAAATATAAGCTAAATAAAGTGATGAGAATTTTGATGTATAATCAAAAGAAAACTTAATAAAATATATTCTGTGAATCTACCAGCATCTAAGTCATTGACCCTATTATTTCTCTCAACATACCAACACCTAAGCAATTAGTTTATATTTTATATGTATGCACAATTCCAATATTTCCTCTAAAATTGTGAATAATTTAAATATTTTGTTCTGATTTTAGGCAAGTCACAACAACCAATAGAAGTGACGGCATTATATTCTTTTGAAGGACAGCAGCCAGGAGATTTGAAATTTCAAGCTGGGGACAGGATCACAGTTATATCAAAAACTGATTCACACTTTGATTGGTGGGAAGGAAAACTTCGAGGTCAAACTGGCATTTTTCCAGCCAACTATGTAACTATGAATTAAAGTTTGTGTCATTTTCTTCTTCATTGAGAATAATATATTTATATATACATTTCTACACTAATAGGATTGCTAGCCAGTTAAGTAATGTTTAATATCAATTTGAAAACACCAAACCAAAAACCAAATCTATTGCAATCCTGTAGGACAGTGTAGAACTGCCCTATAGGATTTCTAAGGCTGTAAATCATTATAGAAGCAGACTGCCATGTCTTTCTTTGACAGAGCGGTTGGTGAGTTCCAACTTCCCACCTTTTGATAAGCAGCTGAGAACTTAACCAAATGTTTCTGTTTATTCCAGAAACTTAAACAATATTAAACAATTTTGTTTTTCTATATATAAATAAATGGTTAACTTACATATCTTTAAATACTTTGTACTAATTTTATCACATTACAAAAAAAAAAAACAAAACTCACTGTGTTGAGTTGGATCCAACTCATAGTGACCCTCCTTGGGTTTCCAACGTGGTATCACTACAGAAGTATATTGGCCAACCTTCCTTCTGAGGAGTGGCTGGTGGGTTTGAACCACCAGCCTTCTGGTTAGCAGTCAAATGCCTTAGGCACTAATAGTCTATATCTTCTAATTTATATGGTGACAGTTTTCTGTGTTCATCTTTAAACATTACTGAACTTTTCATCTGGCTGTAATATGGTGCTTATTTTGATTTGGGAATTTTAGGGGTAGAGCCATGAATGCCAATTTATAGATTTCAATTTGCAAAGTGACTAGATAAGAAAAAAAAAACAGATATTAAAGAAAAATTAGAATTATAGTTATTAACTAGAATATGAAACCTTAAAAATTATCTTTATGCCTTCAAATATTGTATGTGTACATTTATAGCAGAAATATATTATTACAAATATGCTCAACCACTGTGCATTAAAAAAATGACATCTATTAACTTTTGCTTTTTATGAGTTTATGTTTGTCCATAGTCATTCTCTAGCAGTAGAATCAAGTATACTGACACACTTAGGTTGCCCATAAATAAATGTTCTTAAAGTGTTTGCTACGTTAATGTCTTGGTTTTGTTTGCCTAATTTTCTTTTTGTAATGTGGGCAGAGGTCCTGTGAATCATCTGCAGGTTACAAAACCACCTCCATTATTCTGCTGCCTTAACCATTCCCCTAAACTCCACTTAACCAACTACTCATTTGACATCTCAATTGGATATAGTATCTCAAACACAACTTGTCCAAAACTGAACTCTTGCATTCTCCTCCTGTAAAACCTGCCCCTCCCTCAATGATCCCCCTCAGTAAATGTAAATTCAATTCAACCATTTTCTTTGGTGACAAAACTTTGGAGTCATTCTTCTACTTTTTCTCTTTCACAACCTATGTCAAACCCACCAATGAATTCTATTGGATTTACCTTCAAAATATTTACCAAACCAAACCACTTTTTACTGTCTCTACTACTCCTACCATAAAATAAGCCACCATTAGCTTTATGCTTAGATTATTGATATAGTCTTTAATTTGAATTCCTTGCTTCAACTCTTGCTGTAACAAAGCAGCCAGAATGATCCTCTTGAAATTGGACCTCTTCATTCTTCACCTTTTCATCCTGTTTAAACATTCCTCAAAGTCCAGCATACACTTAACCCATGACATACATACACACACACCTTACCTTTTTTTTTTGCACAATATTTAAGACGGAAAAAGGAAAAAAAGTCCCGTATCATCACCACCAAGAAATAAAACATAGTTATGTCCTACTTTTTGAACCCTTCTCAGTTAGTTCCCTCTCCTTCTAATGAAAGGTAATCATTACCCTAAATTAGCTATGAATTCAATGTATTTATTAATGTTTTTATTATATATGTATGTTTCCCTTAGTGCTTTATGGTATTGTTCTGTATGCTTTTAAACTTATAAAAACAATCCATTGAATTCATTCATTCTCAAGTTGTTTTTTTCATTCAGTTTTAAACTTATGAGATTCATACATTTTGATATGTTGAGCTCAAGTTTATTCAATTTCATTGCTCTGTGGTATTCCCATATATCAGTATATTATAACTTACTTATTTTTGTGTTTATGAATATTGAAGTGCTTTGCACAAAATGCTGCTCCGGGGTTTATTTGTCTTTCACATGCTTTTTCTGAGTGCTTCCTTTTCATCAGTTTTTTCCTATTGTTTTTTCCACTGTTTTCTTATGGATTTTTGAAAATTTCTTTACATAATCTGGATCCAATACTTTGTAAATTTTATGCATTGTGAATATTTTTTTTATGAGCTATAATGTTATCATATACAGGATATGTTTTTTCTTTATAATTTCTGGTTTTTTGTATGTTTTTAAAGAAAAATTTTTAACCCTGAACTTATAAGTTAATTTTTTATAAATTAGTTCTAAATGATATTAAGTTTTAATCCTTATACTGAAGGGAGGAAAAAAAGAAAAGAAAAAAAAGGAAAGTTAGAAGGTCCTTTACAAATCCTGCCAACACCACTCTCCATAAGGGGTATGTATACCCTAGAAGAAAGAATAAACTAGAAATAGCTTAGGCTTCACAAACACTGAGGCCCTCATCCAAACTACCTAAGCTTCTGATTGAATTTAGGAAATCTGGCATTGCAAATATCCCAAGTTTAGCTGCCTGCCTTTTGAAAAAGATAACACCATCTAGACCTCACATTATCCTTTTTTTTTCTCTCTCTATTAAAAAACTACTATGAACACCAAGAAACATGTTCAACAGAATATGGAAATTATCAAGCAACATCATTAATATCACATGCAAGTAAAATTTTGCTGAAGATAATTTAAAAAATGATTGCAGCAGTATATTGACAGAGAACTTCCAGAATTCAAGCTGGATTCAGAAGAGGATATGGAAAGAGGGATATCACTGCTGATGTCAATGGATCTTGGCTGAAAGCAAAAAATAGCAGAAGATGTTTACCTATATTTTATTCACTATGCAAAGGTGTTTGACTGTGTGGATCATAAAAACTTGTGCTCATGAGGAACCTGATAGAGCCTGGTGGAACCACTGAGACTATGGCCCCTAACTGCCCTTCAGATCTGGAATTAAACCCACAACTGTGGTTTCCAGCTAAACAAAAGACAGGCATATGAGTTGAACATTTACCTCAAGTAGAT